AGCCCCTCCCTCCACTTAAACAACTCGTCCAATTTCATGGTGCGTTACCTGGTGTGTCGTGCATCGATGTGCCACGGTGGCAGGACAGAACACGGAGGAGGACTCCGGTTGAGCTTGAAGATCTGATTTCCCGCCTCCTCAGAGCGTCGGGGAATTATTTCTGATCAAACACGCATCGGAAAGTAGTGCTGGCAAAGACTGAAGTGGGCACCTCTGCTAAGGACTCCAAAACAAGTTATGTTCGAATTTAGTTCTGCAAAGAAAGTAGATAGGTGCCCCTCGCTCCCAGCTGATTTAATTCAAATTATTTACTCTTCTTACGCAGTGCAGTAAACTCTCGTCTCTAGTGTATCCCCCTACAGATCTAACAGATAGACAGCTGAAGAGCAGTTCGATACTCGGTAGATTTCACAGCCTGAATTCGTCAACTAAAAGAGTCGTGTTTCATGCAAAGACGAGCAATTACTGCGTGCAACTCCCTTAAGCTCAGTTAAGTTTTATTAAGCAAAATATTAGCGAACCACTTTGAACTCCCTGTTTGTTACAAGTCGTTAGTGAAAAACACTGATAATGGGAAAGTTGAAAAGGGGATTTTGCACATCATTCGAAAAAGAGTAATCATTTCTCAATGGACTACTAATTCAGAAACTATGAATTGCATTTTGTAAAGATTCGGCCTACCTCGTCTAAAACTCGCATGTTAATTTATTTTAATTTGCCTTGATGGGACCTCGACGGATTACTCACTAACCACAAGTAGTGTAAACGCATATACGTTGGTGCCGGGTTATGTGAGTGGGTGTGAGACTGGTAGTTGGGAAGCTCGATAGGCGTCGATTCTACACTGAAAGGAATTCATACAGGAGGAGGGTGCAACATCCGTAGGTAGAGCATTCCACGGTGCAACTACTCTGTTACTGAAAAAGAACTGTTGTTCATTGATTCTTGCTTTCCCTCCGCGTAGTTTTAGGGGACGACCGCGCAAAGTGGACGTGTTAACTGGAGTGAAGTAATCAGTGGGACCTAAACAACAGTCTAGGCCGTGGATAATGCGAAACGTTAGTATAAGGTCACCACGTAGTGGTCTGTAAGAAAGGAAAAACAGGTTGAGAGTTGACGCTCTAGTTTCATAGGTCAGTGCTCCCGGACCTTGTGTCATTTTGATCGTCCATCTCTGGACCTTCTCCAAGACGGTATAGTCCTTAGCAGTCCAAGGTTTCCACACCTGTATGGCGTATTCTAAGTTAGGCTGGACGCAAGGGCCGAATATTTTGGAAAAGCAGTCAGGGTCAAATCCAAGTTCCAGTACTCGTAGTAGTGGACGATCTCGACATCAACAACTATTGTGACTGGTTTCTAAAAGTGATATTAGGCGTAACTTCACCACCTATGTATTTCTGCAAACACTGTGTTTTTAATAGCACATCTGTTGCCCTCAGGGATGAAGAGAGGGAGTCAGTTTTTAAGCCGAAAAAACCAATGATTGTCCAATCCAGTTAGAGGGTGAATTTGCCCATCTCAATATCCTCATCTGCCAATACCTGCTCCTTGGAGCTAGGGCATCGCCAAAATGGGTTCTCAGACGGACGCATAAAATCAAACCCGGAATGATCACCCGAAGAAAGGCATCGTACGTTGAATAAGGTAGCAACATGACATTATAAGATTGATTTGCCTGGACAGTAACAGGTGCTTAATGCAGGATTTGTCCTGGCACGGACTGAGGCCCACTGAGGAAAATAGAGCACACGAACACCTACATGCCTTAAGGTTGAGATCTCTGACGTCGGCAATGAATTCCAAGGTAACAAGCCCGCATAAAATAACAGGAATCGTTTTGATGAACAGATTACACTATGTAACTGAAATACAATCCATATTGTCGGACCAGAAGAAATTCGGGAAGGTAGACAAGGAAAAAGATTGCACGGATGAAGTAAAGCTAAAACTGGCTGACTGTCCTAGAAGGCTCCACTCAGGGAACCTAATAAGCGACCGGGACCTCGAACGCCTGCGAGCAGTTGACACACATATCCCTCGAATTTATGGCTTACCTGGGGTCCATAAGGACGGCCTGTCAGTTTGTGCGTCTTTGGACATGCGGCAATCTCCGTATCTTGAGATAAGGAAGTGGCTAGGAGAGAAACTCAAGCCCGTACTGCGTCAGCTAGCACCACGTAGCAATCGAGATACCTTTGAATTCCTTGACAACGGCGTCAAAGATCTCAAACTTAACGGCATGATGTTCTTGCTAGACGTCTCATAACTTTTTACGAACGTTCCAGTTACAGAGGGAGTTAGTTACCTCTGCGAATTCCTCTAAACCAATCATCAGAAACTATGAATTCCGACGAACCCACTCAAGGAACTGTTATCAAGATGTGTATTAATGTTATTATATTACTGCCTGTATTTCAGTAATGTTTGCTTTGTATTATTGTCCCAGGTTCATTGAATGTGAGTGTTGGCTTTCAATTCGTCGCCCTCAGAAACTGAGATAGCACCAATTATCCATAAACAGACTTTTGTACATCACATTTAGTAAAGTTAACGTGTTAACACTTTTAACAATTCGTTTATCTGTCTGGTTTCGAAAAGTTTGTCAGTCTGAAAAAAATTTCTGTAGCTGTTTGATGTTTCCATTTTCAAATTTTTGATATAATTCGCCTCCTTGTAACAAATAGGGAGTTTAGAGGTTCAACAAATATGTTTCCCGCAAATAAACTGAAACTGAAACTCAGTAGACACGTAGACGGCATTTCTATGGGCTCGTCCCTTAGACATCGCCTACCCGATGTCGTCGTGTGCAAACTAGAGAAATTTTAACTAAGCGGTTAAATCAATAAGCCGAAACATTACAGTCGCTACGTCCATGTCTTTGCAACCAGCATAGCTGCCCCCTTAAACGCGGTAAGTTAGGCACATCTGTCAATCAAATTCACGTTTGAGATGGAAACGACTGGTTCGCTCCCTTTCCTAGTTGTCCTTCTAAGCAAAAGTTCTGATGGTAGCGTCCGAATGAGCGTCTATCAGAAGAAAATCTGGTCCGGACAATACACGCACTTCGGAAGCTTTGTGATACTCCAACAAAAGCGAAATTCAGCCCGGCGTTTGACGCAAATGGCTAGAAAAATTTGTTCTACAGATAGCCTCCAGGAGGAGTTTAGAAAGATCCAGGACATGCCTCGCGAAAACAAGTGTCCTGACAGTTTTTTCACAAAGAATATTGTCGAGCGATTGGAAAAGCCCACCACACTGACTGCCGGAAGGAAAATGTTATTCCTCAAAGTTCCTTTTTAAGGGGACGCTGCAAGTGAACTCTTAAGAAGACGCCTTGGCCAAGCTGTCTTACGAACGTTCCCAACAGCAAGGGATCGAATACCATTCTCTACTAACCCCATTTTACGCGGAGGTAAGGATAAGTTACCAACTCAGACCGCATCGACGTGCATCTACTCCTTTACTTGCTCCTGCGGGGCAGATTATATTGGTCGCACGAGTCGGCGCCTATCCAAAAGAATACGAGATCATCTCTCGGCATGGTTAGGGAAAGGCGAGACTAGGAGCATGAACAGCGCCATTCTCGTTCATGTTATTGTTTCCGGACATCGTGTGACCCCGAGCGAAGCTTTCGTGTGATTTATAAGGTCCAGCGCCTGTTAGCAACAGCAGAAGCGGCCGTCATCAGGTTACGAAAACCAATCTTATGCATGAGGCGTCAGTTCGTTTCGCCTCTTTCCCAGACATGTTAATTTATATTACGTCAGCGTTGCTTTAAAAGTTTCTTAAGGACACCGTCTGAAAGACCCGAAACAAGCGTACAGTAGATGCGCTAGCTCATAAAATGTTAGCCGAAATACTTAAATGTGTTGTCCGCCCGAAAACAAAAGTTAAGCAAAATTGTAATATTAGTCACCATGCAGCATAATCCTATAATGATTCAGTTACTTCAGGATACCAGCTTTTGAGCGAATTTCTTTCCCGCCGCCTGCAAAAAATCCACTCTGTAAAAAAATTGCTGCTTAAGTGGAATGCATTTTTCTCATTGATTTTAGATTCCCTCTTAAATTCAAATATATTTCGTAGAAAACATGAGAAAATTTTTTCATCCTTCTCATTTGGTAGCAAATTACGTCTTCTTCCAATCTTCTTGCCGTTACACTTGCATTCGGGGTTTCCAAACCACAAGCTGCGTTTTCCGTGAACGAAAATCAGGCATTCTTATACACTCTTAAAAGGAGATTATACGGGTATCGTAAAATTTAGCAGTGGATTTGAGCATATTGTAAACTTAACAAGCAGTACTAATAAATACAGGGACGCGGTGCTTCGTGAACGGGCATTTCACGGTCCCAAAAAATCTCATCATTAGAAACTCTTAACACCAAATTATACCTTTTCTCCAAGTAGAACATTTACGAAAGACGTAATTTTCCACTAAAAAGCTGAAGAACGAATATTTTTTATGCACATTAAAAAAATATATGTTGATTTATAAGGGGACTGAAAATCGAAGAGGAAAAATCATACTACGTTAGTGGTCAATTTTGACGGAGTGTAGACTTTTCAGGCGGCCGGAAGGAATTTTGTTCAAAAGATGAAATCTTGAAGTAACTGAATTATCTGGGGATTATGCTTCATGGCGACTAATATTACAACCCTACTGGTAAGATGTGGTCATGTAGCCCCACCCGATCGACACCTGTAAAAACCCCTATTACCACCGGTCCTGTATTACAGGTGGCTGGGGTTAGTTTACTTCAGGTGAGGCTACATAACCAAATCAGACCACCCTACTTAACCAGTCTTTTCAGATCAAAAATGCATTTCAGAAGTTCGGTTAACATTTTATGAGTTAGCACATCTACTGTAAGTTTCAGAGCTTTCTGATGGAAAAATGGTGAATACTGGATGGATAGCTTACAGTGCTAACTTTGCCACAAGTTTTGGAGTTGACTTAAACGCGGCGACTATGCACTGTGGCGCACACCAAACAGAACATGCGCTTCAAGACCGTCATGTGAGTACGGAGAAAGAGAGAAGGGCTGTCTGCCCTTGTTTCGTTGACCTTTTCACAAGCTGACAGATTCCGTAGCCGGTAGCCAGAACACAGGTTACAGGGACGTGCTTACTGACTGCGCACATAAGAGGTAGACCGACGGGAGGGTATCAGCGGCGATTTTAAGAATCAAAAATCACGGCCATTCTTAGTCCTAAGTCACAGATCCCTGCAGAAGCTATTTCATACTAACACTTATGCGTTCTTCCAAGGTTTGCAGTAAGTCAGGTAGTGAGATAAGTGTCAGAGTAGTTTTGTAAAGAAAAATCTTCGGATACTATGCATTTGCCCAGACCATTGAGGACAATTAATTATCATGCTTTGAAATAAGTGCTGGTTTGGTGGTAGAATAAAAACACCGAAGATCTAGGCCTACGTTTTAGGGATGTGCAGCTACAGAACACTAAGTACAAATATAGAGGGGCGCTCACCGATCGTGTTACGGGATTCACTCGTCCCGTTGTGCCTTGGGGCTTTCTCTCGAGTGGGGCGTTGGACTTCTAACCAACAGGTCGCGGGATCGAGCCCCAGGTGTTCCATACTTTGGGGTTGGGTATGACTGGCTGACGACGGTTAATGAGCCAGAAACGGCCATTCCAGTTTCCCTCGTCTTTGTCGGTAATGTTATTCTGCTTATATTACGTACCGCTGTGCGTCTGCTAGTTGGGCTAGAGAGAGCCCCAGGGCACAACGAGACGAGCGAGTTCCATAAAAACGATCGGCGAGCGTCCTTTGACCAAAAATGCAGGGATCAGGTCGTCTCACGGCACAGTTAAATCAAATCGTGCAAACCCTGCGCGAACCCCGGGCGGTGGATTGTAAACGCGAAATGTGGCTCCGATACGTGGATGATACGTTTGTTATCAAGAAGACCGGTGAAATTTAGCAATTGCACCTGACTCTGAATAGCGTTTTCCCAGCTATCCAGTTTACTCGCTAACAGGCAACAGGAGGCATCCTCCCGTTTCTACACTTAAGTAAACAAACACTCAGTGATGGCGGCCTTGCAACGAGGGTCGACCAAAAAGACTCCGATGCTGACGTCATTCTCAGTTATAAAAGCAATCATCCTACAGCGCATAAAAGGAGCTGTGTCCCAATCCCTTTCAACCGGACATTTCGTTACTGCAGCAGTAATGATCTGATTAAGAAAGAACTCTCTCTCTCTCTCTTATATCGATTGTTCCGGCTCTACGGATACCCGGTAACTTTTGTGAAAAATTGTCTCAGACATCAGAGGCAAACGCAAGGCCTGGGTTCTAATGAGGGGCCAGAACAACGGAAATTCTGCTCTCTACCCTGCATGCACGACAGTTCCGAAGCGATCGCCCGACAACTAAACCGGTTTGGCATCTTCATTACTCATGAGCAGGCGTCCTTCCTGTGCGCAACACTATCCCAAGTAAAAGATCCCATATCCAAAGAGCAGAAAACTACTGTCATCTACCGCATACCGTGTGATAACTGCTCTGAAGTCGACACTTCGGAGTTGGGTATGGCTGTCTGAAGATGGCTAACGAGCCAGAAACAGCCAGTCCAGTCTCCCTTGTCTTTGTCGATAATGTCATTCTGACCAATTACAAAGCCACATAAAGTCCTAAGTTAAAAACTTGCTCATTTTGCATGTCAGATGCTTTGAGGAATGCAGCGGAGTAGTAAACACACCAGACGATCGTACTGCCCGTCCGAACTTATAGAACTGAACGAGCGTGCCCCGTAGACCGATCGGTGAGCTCACTTCCAGCATAGCTGATACTCCAAATCGCAACAACATGATAACGGGACCGCTTTACCTAACGGTCAAAGATCCCGGGTTCAAATCCCAGGTGTCCCAACGCTGGGATTGGCTAACGATGACTAACAAGCCAGAAATAGCCGTTCCGGTCTCTTTTGCCGCTGTATATACACCTTTTAGATTAAAACAGGTAGGGAGCTTCAAAAAAAATATTTTTTCTTCCGGTCTTTAAACAGTAGTACCAACAAAAGAGGCAAACTCTCACGCCAAATGAGAAGACTAAACGGAACTGCGCTCATCTTTCCAAGTAAATACGTCGTCGTTATCGAAAGACCGACGGCATAAAATCACAATTATTACGTAGCGTCTTATTACCCAACGAGGAAACAGCAAGCTACCATACACGAATTTACTTCCGGCAATGCCTCTAGCCGATGCATATCATGACTTCAATAGTCTTTGCATGTCAATGTATATTTGAAAAAATCAGCCAAAGTATAACTGATATGAAATTGGAGTTTCTATCACTCAGCAGTCCTGGCCGAACCCCGAAGGCAGATCTCGTTCATCGATTTCATGCATAGTTCTGTTAGGATTTCCCGAGGAAGCTCTCAAGAGCATTCTTGATCTTAGGATATTTCTTGTCGGTCTCTCGATAGACTAAGGATAAAAAGCAAAATTCGATGTCTAGCGCTGGAGCATGGAATGTGGCCAGATGAATTTGCAGGAAGATATTCCGTCGGCCGCAGGAATATGGACATTCTCCGTCTTACAGATAACCTCACCCTAAATTCCAGACGAGTTCTAGTGTTACTGGTGGAACTAAGGCTATTTTTGGAGATTATGTATTGGTGTTGAGGTTACGTCTATTAAAGTTGGTGTTTGGGTTGAGATTAAAGTTTGGACACGGGAATGGGAGCCCCCTGAAGAACTTAGTCGTAAGGTCAGCTATAGCTGACCTTACGAGGACCTAACTGAGGACTTCCCGTATCTCTTTGTCCGATCCAAAACTCCACGTTTAGTTATCCGGGCGACAAAAAACTTGCTCAAACGACAGGGAACCTTTTCCCGTGAAAAACCCCCTTCACGCCCTCCGGGCCCTCATTGTGCCTAGCATGGAGACCTGATGTGGTGACCAGAATTGCCCACGAAAAGCGGTCGTAGGATGAGAAGTCAAGGTCAGACTGACAGAGTAGAATGCCTGGGAGAGGAGAGATTTTTTTACGTTGCTACTCAATAAATACAAGGAGTCATTGTTTCCGCACTATATGTAAACCAAGTTTACCTCCGCATGCAACGCTGTTACGAGCAACTTTTTCCTTACCAAGAGAGTAGGGAGAGGGAGAGCATTGCTGTTCTTCGCATCCTGTTTGCCGTTGGTTTTTTGTGCTTACCTGCTCCACAGGCGGTCACCTCAGAGTTTTCTCATCAAAATGGCTCCCACTCCTCGTTTTACAGAATTCCTTGAAAGGAATCACAGTTTCGTTCGGTATATCACTGGAGTTAACAGTTTCCCCCAACAGGGTACGGCAGTAGGAACAGAAATAATATTCACGCCGAAAATGACGCGTATTCCTAAGGTTTGCGCACACACCTTATCAGCTTCCATGACTTCCGGCCGATGAGACACCAGGCTGTCCGTAGCACAACGGGTACGCTATTTGCCATTAAAATCTTAACGGACTTCGGTCACGTCGCCCTTCGTCTGTGCGTTCGCAGCGCGGAACTTTCGTCTTAGGCTACCTGCCTCTCAGCCTTCAGCACGAGAACCACACTACTTAAAAACACGTCATCCGTAGGAGGGTCGTTGTCAACAGTATGATAGTCAGCGCGTTAATCCCCAAAATGCCGAAGGGCCCTTCTTCTTGCATTATTCCGGGATGCTTTGGATCACAGCGGTTCGACGACCTGTCTTCCTGTTACAGCAGAAATTATCAGTCAGTCTATTCTCTGCCTCAGCATACTTGCCGGCATATCTAGGATAAACTGGTAGTCTTATTTTCTTAAAATTTATACCAGAGCGGGATTAATACTCAGTTATCGTACAACCACATGCACGTTAGCAACACTGAGCAATGTTCCCAAAAGTCACCTTCTGCATAAACGTTTCCTTCATGCCAGGTAATTAACAATATGAAAGAACCTATCCAGTCAACAGGAAACAGGCGTGTCTTCGTCGTACTGGCAGAAGGTCACAAGACGACCTAGTACAAACCACCGTAGAATCAAGACAGCATCTGGCACTTGCCTTCCGCCGACTGTCCCGTGCATTGGTGTACTTTTATTCATCATATCGATTAGCACTGACCTTGAGGCACTGTTGCGCCAATCAGTTTTCGAGGCGGTGACGGATTGCTCACACTGAGTCCTCACACACCCGCGAGGACTTGAACTGAGCCACAATCAACAGGACGGAGTTGAGAGCACAGAAGGGCGTGTTTGGGGCCATCACAAAGGCTGGCATCCTTTGAAAAGCTAGCCTGAAGCTAGGATGTGGCCAAGGCCCTCATTTCTCATCGGATGGACGCCTCTAGGGGGTGGGGGGAGGGGAATTTTGAAACCACACACACACAGTCTCGGGCCACGCGCGGTCGCTCACTCATCAGCGAGACATGACTTCAGCGGGCTTGCTGAAATCGGATACGCCAAGCAACTTCAAAGAGCTCACTTTCGGGTGTTGACTCGCGTTCCAACGTATCACCTTTCTTATGGCGATTTTCGCACATGATCCAGTCATATTGCAGAGACTTTGATTCCTCCTGTTGTTTGTTGTTATGGTTTCTCACGCTGTCAGAACCGGGTGTTGCTAGGGCGATCCTTTGCAGAAGGTCACGAGAAGGTTGCAGAAAGGGGGGCGGGGGTTCTTCAGTCCAGAGCAAGCTCACTTTTAAGACTCATAGAACTGCATGTGTCTGTAGAGTTGAACGTAGATGAGCGAAAATGCCGAGAATCTGCCTTACATTTCCTCGCCTCGTGATATTTTATTCCTTAAACCTTGGTCAATCAGAATAATGTTTAGGTTAGCAGACGTTCCCTAAACGTGTGAACTCTCCACAAGGTTTGGGGATCGAGAGAGCACTTTTTAATAAACTTTTCCGGCAAAACTGTTGAATTTGGACAGAGCTTACGATTTTACGCGAGACCCCGTTCACTACTACTACTGTCAAGTATGGTGTATTGTGCTATCTTAGTATATGCTACTGGCTGTCCGTTGACCGCTTATAAATATTACGCGGTTATTCCGTAATGGCTGATGTACTTTGGCCTAAAAATTCATATCGGAATTCAGTCTGAGCCTAAAAGCCTCAAATAGACTAATTTACTCCAAGGTAGGGATTAATTTATGAGGGAACTAAAAAGCTGCAATTGTCGTCACTTTTCTACCCTGTTTTCGCCATGTGGCAGTCCTGTGACATGTCGAGAAGTCGGAGAAGCCTGTTACAGTCGATTTATGACAATAAATTTCGATAGGAACACCAGACGGAAATTATTTTCCAAAAGAATGAAAATAAGACATTTAAATTTATCCTCTAGAGAATCAGCAAGTATTGAGAACTCAGCGGCAGAACACCTACTTATCGGTGATAGGGCGTCTGTTAGTGGATCTTCATTCAAGGCCGGAATGAACACTAGTCAGAAGTTTTCCCAGTCGGATTTTATTTCGTTGCCGTACCTGTAGTTGAAAAGCACCAGCCTAACCCCAACCCCTAACCCTCAACCCTTGCCCCTAACAGCCAACCTCAACCCCTAACTCCAACCGCTAGCCCCTAACCTTAACTGTTGACCCTGACCCCAACCCCTAATCCTAACTTCTTACAGGTACGGCTATAAAGTAAGATCTTGCCGTTTTCCCAAATCAGACTGAGAGAGAGAAGCAGAGCAGGAATGGGCCGACAAAGTAACTGAACAATTTTGAGCCTTCAAAGTTCGCCACAGTCAGCCTCAGTATGGCATTTAAGTCCTAACGACTTCGCCATTCGCAAACAATTCTTTCGAAATTAATTGATACGGATTAAGCAAAACCATATTACAAGTCATCTTCTGTCACCGTGGACGTGTTAGATAAGCCTGCGCGTGCGACACGCCTTCAGAGAAAAAGAATGATGAAGTCCCTGAAAGTGTTGGCCGGAAGCTTGCCAGGGGGTTTTGAGAGGGCAAAGTACATGTCAGTTTTGATGGAATTTACTCTGCATCCGGTAGCGAATCTTAAAGTATAAAACAACACAAGAAGATTCAGCTGGGTAAAGACCGGGGTTATTTGGTTTTCAGTGCCTGCAAGTGTTGTAGTACAAATTGTCATCTGATTGGCGGGAAATAGGAGATAATCGCCTCTGGCGGAACTTTTAATAAGTCCTGGTCAGATAACTAATTCCTCTTTTTTCACATCCTGATTTTTCTTCACTCAATGCTTCGTGCTTCTGATTTCCGCCAGTCTGCTCGTTAACGATGCTGTCCAACTAGCCTTATTCCCTTTTTTACATTGAGTCAGACTGCCTGCACCGACTGTCACACGACTAGCCTACTACAAGTACATTTAACACGTTGGCAATCTGAATGCCGAATAAACGTCCTATGCAAAAAAAATGTCAAACTGCCGAAAGCACCAGCTCTATCGACCTTGCGGGCTACCAGTTTGTCCAAACACCTTTGTGCAGGTGACATCCGCAGGGCGGCCTGATTCACCTAACCTCGTGATGCGTGGGTGGAACTTGCCGATGCCTACAGAGGGTGAATATATTTGCATAATTTGCACATTCGCCTAGGCGCTATTCAAGAGCTGGCAATGACAACAGTCTTCATAACTCACCGGGCCTGACATCTTATAGCGCTAACTCATCCACACAAAAACTGCCCCCCCCCTCCCCACGTGAATACTGACCGAACCGACTGGCTGATGTATGCCAGATTTTCGAGAAAACTTTCGCTCCTCTTCCGAGTCCCACGGTAACAAGCGCGTAGGGCTAGGGAAGATAAACAGACCAATAAGTGAGCAGAAGGTTGGTGTTTTGGGCAGCCGGTACTCTCTTATGCATCTGAAAGGTCATACTCACTATGAAAGTGAAAGATGAGTCTTCTGTCGATGTGCCAATATTCCTGATGGCATATGTGGACTGTGGCTCACGTTACATGCCTTATTTCTCAGATTCTGTCAGAGTCTTATTTCAGTCCTCGAAAAGCAACTGGCCTCGCTTTAGACGATTGCATTCCTTTTTTTGGGGGGGGGGGTCCCTTTCGGAGGGAGTAATGCCACGACGTTAGAGTGGAATTGTAGAACTCAACAACAGAGCTGTGGTTAATTGTTAGCCCTCATCATTCCACTGGTCATAGGGACTGGATGTGAATGAAAGCCGATTAGCCGTCTGATTTTGACAGAATAGGCTTGTAAAGCTTTTCATTTTGGTTAGATGTGGTTATGTGGCCCCACGTGAAGTAAACAAACCTCAACCAATTATAATACGGGACCGGTGGTAATGGGGGTCTTTACAGGTGGGGCTGGAGAACGCACAGGCGACGAGGTCAAGTAGTTGTGTGCAAAATAAGAGCTATTGGAAGTGAGCGGTTGTACTTCGAGTGGTTGAGAAGTAGTTGCCCTATTCCTAGCCCTAACCCCTAACTTTGACCCCTAACCCTCAACCGTAAGCCCTAACTCTAACTCCAACAGTATTCTGTACATCAGGCGGGGCTACATAACCACATCCTACCCTCATTTTCCTCGTCAGTCAGTGTGCAAATATGGAGTTAATTTAAAAGACGACGATGGTACGATCACTGAGACGGTAGATTTATTGGCCTTAGCTTTCGAACTCGAACGGTAATTCATCATCTGAGACTGCTAAAGTGCAGCAACGTGTGAACATTTATATCGTTGTGTCCTGTGGGGGGACTACGTCCGTGGTTAGGTCTGGTTTGCGCCGACTGGCCCACAGTGGTCCCCCGGCGTGGTGACGGCGTTTGTACTTCGCGGCGATGTGAGCTGCGCCACCTGGCTGCGTGGGCGGAGTGCGTGCTAACACGCGGGCAAATCAATGTGTCTATTGATAGAGTTGGTGCCTGACATCCACACCTAGAACAGTTCTCGACCCCCCCCCCTTGCTGCCGACTCGCGCCAATATCCGCGTGTTGGCGAAGTCGGACTCACGGCCTTCCACCAGCATGTGAGCGACGACTTGAGATAGTGGGTCGCCTCTCCGAACGGCCCGTTTGTGCTCAAGTATTCGTGAGATGAGACGTCGTCTTGTTTGGCCTGTGTAGTTGCAAGGACAATTGTGGCACGGGATTTGATACTGCCTTCCTCTTCTTTTAAACAAGAACATGGGATGCGCATATTCTCTTCCATTCATGGAGTTAATGCTGCAGAGAGGACCTTCTCAGGTTCGATCCGGAGGTCGACATTTACATATGTGAGCCAAGTTTCACCAGCTTCAGTGGAATTTCCGTCTGGAATTTGCAATCGGCCAGCTGACAGCCAGTACTAATTGATTTGTCACATCGCCAGCGGGGATACAAGCCAAAAGCACAGACACATGTTTCGTCGGCTTTATGCCTTTGTATGACACAGACGCAAAGGGTTCGGCTTGCCAGTAAGTCTACCAGCATTACCCGTGTGTTTCCTGGCATGTACTCCAGCCGTAAGTGTTTGTTTTTTTCATTGTCTTGCCATTATTGAAGAAAATTCTGTAAGGTGGATGTCTTTGTTTGCCAAAACTAATTTTGGTCAGAGCCTATCCAGAAGAATACACGAATACCTCCCGGCATTGATGAGAAAAGGCGAAATCAGAAGCCTAAGCATCGTCGCTCTCGCGCATATTAATGATTCCGCGCGCCGCGTGGACCCCAACAAAGACGAGTTCCTACTGAAACACTCGTAGTCACTGGGACAGCGCCTGCCAATAACAGCAGGAACAACTGCCATCAGGCTACGAAAGCCGGTCGTGTGCAAACAGAATAAACTTGTGCTAGCTCCACGCCTGCCATGGCCAAATGTTGGTCAACTGCAGGCAGTTCTCTGCGCCCTCCTTTCACCTCTCCCCCCTGGCGCGGCTCTTCCTAATCCTCACTGATTCTTGCTACTCTTCCCTCATACTTCCACATCCTACGTGTGTGAGAAGGCGAACCTGAGTCGATTTCCCTTACCACTCACAATTTTTGCGCGAGCTGGCTCCAGTTTACATGTTCTGGCATGATGAGAATTTATCGGAAGCAAACACATGCTCGCCAACTAGTTTTCTTTAAAAGCAATATTTATTCGGGGTTAAAGGATTTATTGTTGCAGGCAGGGCAAACATTTTCGAAAAACCGAAAACAAAACTGTTAATGTAATACGCGGATAGGGTATGCTTGATCACGCACCACGAACGGCATGGCCATGAATGCCATTTCTAATTACTGTATCCTTGTGGGTCTCAGAACACGAAGGCGTGGCAGTTAAAGTCTGTTTGATTGTTTTAAAGTCAAACACTGTATCATAGATCCAAGTCCAACTGTCTTTGAAAGCCAGTTGCCAACTCAGGTCGACCTGGACAACAGTGACACAGATGGGGCCTACAGCCTATTCTGAGAATCATAACGCCAGCTTTCTGAAAGCGTTTTAAGTGATTGAGGCACCCAATGAAACCTTGCAACGCATCCACTCATTTCCGACAAAACCAGCCTAAATTACTAAAACGAGGAATATTTCGGAGAAAGAGAACTTTAGTACTAGTTTCCGTCTAATTTGAACTCCTTGATCAAGCATTTCTAACCATAAGGTCAAGAAAGCAGGGTCATTTTCCAGAACTGATTAAATTATTGATTGCCCGTTATCATATAATATTCTACAGGGGGTTTTGGCAGCGTTAATAGAACGAAAGTAAACATAGTGTTCAGTCTTTTAATCAAGTCTCACTAATGGGCGCCATCCTCGTATCAGACAGACTCCTCCTATGACTAAATTTCAGCGTAAAATGTGACGTGAACAGACGAACATGCAGTGGCTCGGGAGACTTCTAAATGTCCAAAATTCGAAAGCCTTTCCTTCCTTGCAATTTCGTCATATCAGACAAAAGTAGGTCTTTCGATTTCGCATTAAAAAGGAGTCTCATAAACAGAGAGTAACAGTAGACGTCGCATCATCAAAATTGACCTTCATATTCTACACTAATAAGATTTAGGAACGCAATTAACCATAAAACTAGATATAAAAGTTTGACCGTCGCAGCGGACGATGTCCACCATGTGCTCCGCAACATGATCGGCGCAGAGTCGGTGACTTCCGCGTGAATTAGTTTATACTGGTAATAGACTTGCACTGTATCTACCGCACTCCCAATCTCCGCGCCCGCATGAGTCCGGTGTCAAGACAGACTCAGGAGGACCAGGGGAGAAGGCAGCTGTAATGGCCACCAAAGTTAGACAGCCGTCGAAGTGGGCCACGTGGGTTTGGTCCGCGCACGATACCTGGAGTTACCAAGGCTGGCCTATAAGCACTCCTCCCCACGTGGCGCAGTCACTCACTGGATTAAAAGGTAAAGAAGATGCAAATACTTGACATTTGTGAAGTTAGCGTATTCGCAGCTTTTGAAAGTTTTTAGAAAACTCACCATATCTTATCACTCAGGTTTTCCCAGCGTCTGGTAGGTCGATGGCAGATTGATATGCCTGAAGACTGACTTAATCTTCCAATGTCTCGTTTCCTGCAGTTGACTCAGGGCTCCCAAATGATGGAAGGCCAAGTTATACCCTGAAGAAGATGAATGAGCGGCCATCGGACACGGTTCCTCTTCACAGTCAAAAGCGAATTAATGTTCGGACATTCCCATTTGGACTTATTTACTGGTTTCCCCGACATAATTGATGTTGCCGTAAGGCATTAACTGCGGTAAACATCACCGGATACTTAACAGTGAACTGCGTCTCACTTATCTGCCACGATTCAAAATATCTATGCATGTCGACTTTCTCAGAACTGGGAGTATAAAAACCTGAGAGGGCGCAGATTAGCTATGAAACAGCATCATTAATACAACCGTGTAAAACAAGGCATCGTCGGTTTTGTTCTGTTTTGCGGCCTTGTCAGAAAACCATTCTTGCTATATATTACTATAAACGGAAATATACACCAGAGTTCACAGTTCCTCGCTCCCTTTATTTGTATATGTGTCTGAGCAATCTTCATCACCCTAAATAAATCCTACCCTCAAGTCTACCATCTCATGGGTGCATGTATATTATTGTTCCGCACAAAACGTAACGCCTGTTTTTGCAATAATGTTAAGGTCGTAATTAGATTTTGCGGCTATTAAGGTCACATCATTAAATGTCAGATAGTTTACAGATGTAAAGCGAATAAATATTCATTAAAAGGAAGGCGCATCGGAAGTAAGAGAACAAAACAGTTTGAGCCACTAAATTTTTAGGCTTTTATAAATTCGACAATTTTTTCTAAAGTGAATGTAGAACGATTTGATTGCTCCTACTCATTTTTGTGGAAAACTGCCTTGAATTCAAATTTCGTACGCGTTCTAGGTAAAAGCTATGACTTTTTTAAATTTTTGCCTAAGGCGCGAAAGCTGCATTACACATGATTAATCTAGAAAACTAACATGTAAGCTTCTGTTTTTTTATCATGGCTTCACCAGCTACAGATTATGTTACAAGCTTCTTGAGCAACAGCAATTCACATTTGGTAATTAACAGCAGGAATAATCATGTTATGCCTCACAAATTCACGAAAATTTCAATTATTTTAAAGACATAACCAAGTAGTAAATCTGTGGTGTACAATGTGCTTTTTAGGCCACAGTATGATTGAAATTTCAATGATCAAGTGGGGTTTTCCGTTGCCTTTTTGTCTTTTTCAGGTAGTGACTGTAGTTCCTTCAATATTGTTTGAGCCAATGCCAGCTGCGAGGTTATTCGATCAAGAAACGTAGGTTGCGCTTAGATTGTTTCGAGTAATTAATAGTCAAAATTGACAAAGCCGTTCTCGCGAAACAGCACATTTAACTCGTGAAAATACGCTTGCAGCGTCGCAGAGTAGCTTGTGATGCAAGATACACACTTGCGCTGTCCAAGCATGACTGAAAGTCTCAAAGGAGCCATCTAGCGTTGCGAAAATTACTACTGCAAAAACGCGTTCTTTTGTGGGCCTTGGTCTCCTGAACCGAAAAAGGTCCTGATTTCCAGTCTTCCTATATGAACTGACGGTCAGCCCACAGTGTGTGTCCATTTTTGCCTCTGATTGGTCGGCTCGATCTCAGCCGGTCTTGGTTGCCATGACGACGTTCGGCGTGAGCACACTTCAGACTGCGCTGGCTGATGAACAATCAGGCAGCGCCGCACACACCGACTGACCTCATATCCATTCATCCGGCGCCGGAAAGACTTTACCACACCGCAGAGGAGGCCAACAACTTTTAAACAACAAACGCCAACTTCGAGGTAAGTTCACCAGGAAAAAAAGACATTTAAGGAAATTCAAAAGTAGTTGGAAAACATTGCATGCTCTCAGAAGATGTTTGCGGGAAAATTCCCGAGTTTATTCGATGTCCTCTTTTACTCGACAATCCTTCTCTTCTGTTCATCTTAATGATAAACTTGAAAAGAAAGACAAGAAATGAATGATAATACATTAGTTTGTTGACGAAACGACTGTGCTTAGGAGTAGATTTTTTGCGTACTTAAAATCCTGCAAGTTTTTTTGGAGTAGAGATAGCGCGCGTACTTTTCTTGCGTAGATTACCCTGTAAAAACGGTTGTATAAGTAAATTACCTCCCGTCATTTGTTCTGAATAATTAAGATAAACTGAGTCACTAGTTGCAATCCCAACCGTTGATCGCTACATATGGGTGGGAGCGGACGGGGTCAAAAACGACACCAATGGCTGTGATTTCAGCTGGTGAGCCATCCCAGTCCTCCGAAAGCAAGTTAAGGGAATTATATTAACTGTACGCACACTATCTATACTGCACAGATTTGGGGTATTATTAATTAGTTGTTGTAATAACAAAAGACGAACGACCTCTAGGACTGAGGTGTGGCGTCGTTCACTTCAGTTTGACCCAGGCCGCAGACACGGCTGGAAAATGAAAAATCGATACTCGACCAGGCGCTCTGATTGATTTCTAGAGGAGCAAAGCGGCTCTCCATTGCGCAGATTTTGCATTTAAGTTTAAATCAAAACGTCTTCAGTATATCTGATGAGGGTGCATCGTTGTCTTTTGGCAACTTCAAGAGGTCCGCTCAGCAACGTTGAACTGAACGGGTCGCATAAATCTTCTCCTAGATGAGTGGGGTTCTGGCGGAAGAGTTTGTCTACGTCCCGTTGTTCTGAATGGCGAATTCTCTCTTACGGTCTTCGATGTGCGGCTAACATTTAACAGCGGTCGTACCCCTTCAATGACGTAAAGAAATCAAACAGACAGTAAGCTCCCCTTGGGCTAACTGAAGTGGACATGTTATTTTGTATAAGAATGTGCGATCTTATGTTTGCGGGGTGGAAAAACAGACAGGGGTTTATATGGGAGTATGCGATTTTACTTCATTCATGACAGTGCCTGGAGACTTCAATAAGCGAGGTTAATGGTTCCAAACATCGCAGGCCTTTTTGTGCCAACCAAGGGTCGCCACCAGGGAAAAGAAGGGACCTACGTGCCCGAATAATCATCACAACTGCCATTAGAAATAATAATAATATGTGTTTTAACCAGATTGGCAGCTTAAGAGCGTTTTAAAAATACCGAATGCAGCTATCGTCCTTCAGTTCTATTATTAAACACCATCCCCTAGGTAGGGGTAAATCAGAGCATTGAAAATCTTACTGGCGTTGCTTAAATGCCTGAATAAGCGTCCTCAGACCACAACTATGGCTTGCCTTTGATCACTAGTGATTCAAGTGTATTTTGATCCGCAGAATGAGTTCGATGAGATTACCTTATCCTCCCCTTAGGCTACTTAAATTATTTCCACGCAGGCAAGACAAAGTTCCAAAATAAAATTGTTTTAATAGCTGCCTAAGGACCCCAAACCATCTCCAATTTCTGCTGAATTTTGACATTTTTACTTCCCCCCCCCACACGCATAAATGGAATTCTCCGCAGCTGCGCGATCGCACAGAATCTACATGGAGGACAACGGCAGCAGCTCAGTCAGTTACACTGACCGGGATCACTACAACCTATGCACCAACCACAGCCTCAAAACAACCTTAGGTTTCGGCATATTCTTTCAGTTGACGGCACTCTGTTTCGGGATCGCCATGCTCAGTGTCAACTCCTGGGTGACAATATCTGTGGCTCTTGCCGGAATTGGCGGTGACAAGTACAGCCGGACCAGAACTTTCGGTCCTGTCTCGGAATGCTTCCCGTCACCACCCCCAGGTAACGTCGAACAGCTGGTTTAGAATTTTCATACAATGCGTGATCGATCTCATGAAATGTTGGTCGAAATTCTGAGATGCGTCCTCGATTAGGAAGGATTACTTGGGTTGCGTTGTAATATTGATTATCATGCAGCATACAAGTACAGCATTTCGGACTCGCCAGGATGTCGGCTTTTGAATGGACTTCTTTTCGACCTCCTGTAGAAACCACACTTGGTATAAAATGGTAACTTATACTACATGCACTTTTTACATTTAGTTTCGATGGTCTCATATATTCAAATATATTTTATAGGAAACATGAACAAAAAGTATGCTTTCTTTTAATCGTTTAATAGAAAATCACATTGACTTCACATTTTATACCCGAAGAAAATGTCTTTGAAAGAGTTCCCCAATTTCCGAATATTCTCGAGCCTGATCAGCAACTGCAATCTCACCCTTCAAGGTATATGCTTTCCGCGTAAGGAGAATCATACATTCTTATATGCCCTTAAAAGGATACCATAAGGAGTTCATAAAAGTTTGCAATGGATGCGGACCATGTCACACAATTCCCAAGGAGCATTGTTAAACGGGCATGTACAAAGCTGTATGTATGTACATCGCACGGTCTTAATCATTTCACGATAAGAAACTCTTTAAAAACTGTATAATAACCTTTCTTGGGGTATAAAATGTGAAGACAATGTGATTTTCTACAAAACGAGAGTCCATTTTTTCTATAAAATATATTTTAATTTGTAGGACCATCGAAAATCAATGTGAAAAAATGCATGCTGCCTAAGCATTTACTTTACCGAATATGTTTTCTGCGGGACTTATGTATACATTGAGAATCCCACAATCGTAAACTGTTCAAAGCCTAAATATACACTTCTTCAGATATGATATGTGACGGCAGTGTGATTTTCTACTTAATTTGTAGAAAGGAGCATAATTAATGCATGTTTTCTATGAAATATATTTGAATTTACGCGACCATTGAAAATAAATGTAAAACCTGCAGGCTAATTATGGCGTCATTCTATACCAAGTGTGGTTTCTACAGGAGGTCAGAAAGAATTTCATTCAAAAGCCGAAATCCTGGCGAGTCCGAAATGCTGTAGGAGTTTGCTGCATAATAATCAATATTACAACCCAACCCAAATAATTCTTCCTAATCGAAGACGCATTTCAGAACTTCGGCCAACATTTCATGAGATCGGTCGCGCATTGCTTGAGTATTGCCTGTAATTTTTTAGTTTTATCACATTCAGAATCTTTTTCTGCTTTTTAAATTCCTCTTGGTTTGACTTCTCCCTCTGTTACGTTTTTGTCGGCCCTTGCTTCCTTATTTCCATTTTTTATTTTGCCATTACAATTTATTTTTTCTTCCTCTGCCATGCATTTTTTGCCTGTTCTGCCTTCTAAGGCCAACAATTTCTACACTTTACTTTGCCTCTTTCTTTGTCACACTTTTCGTAGCTATCCCACGCCTTTCCTTTAAGTTTGTCGTTTTCTCTTCCTTCTTCCACCTAGTTTACTGATTGTTATTCCCTTTTTTCTGCGTTATCTCATCACCCTTCCCCTTTCACCTGTGTCTCCGCATTCACTCCCTACAATCGACGCCATTATTAACCTGGTCAACATCTTCATCACCATCACCACTACCGCCAAAACCAAAAGTAGCCTCGTCAACTGCACTTTCCTGTTTCCCCTCTCTCCCCCACTTCTTACCATGCCAGCAGCAAATGTATCGACTAACTGCGCTGTTATTGCAGTAACCGCTGTCTTCCCCATCAATAGCCAATACTTACGTTAAAAATGATTTCAACCTGAAAAATAACTTTGCCAAAAATACAAAGGCCTTCTATTGTCAGCATGAGGAGTCCCCATATCCTGGCAAAAAACAGAAAATGATGCAACCCAGTTATCCATTACTTTAGCAGGAAAATTTGTAAAATTTGCGTGCTAACGTAAGCCGCGAACATAATTCCCTTCTTTACAATCATGGCGAGCCAGCGTTTCAGTATAGACGGGCCGTTAGCCACCTGTATATAAGTAATTGCATGCTTTTTAGTTTGATGAATAACTTCTGTGCAATAAAGTAAACTAGTCTCATTGATATGGCAAATAAGGAATCCTCGGCAACTCCACAGTAGCAACGTATTTGAATTGCTAAATTTTAATGCCTAACAACTAGACTGCATCGCAGGTAGTTTGTGGGTAGGGTTTGTGTGAACCAGCGTCATTTAAATTACAAGGCTGCAAATGAATTTTGGCAAGACTGACTTGTATGGTCCCCTAAACAGGACATGAGAAGTGGAACCACTTGCAATACGGATGGCTTTAGACCAACTTCCAGTGAAATTAGGGTTCGATTTAAGGTTAGAGTCAGGGGATTAAGCTAAGGATTGGGTGAAGGCTGGATCTAAATCTAACGCCAAGATAAGTCAGGACCAAGTTTAGGGTCAAAGCAAGGGCTAGTATTAACGGCAGAGTTATGGTTTAGGGTGGGGTTGGGGACAAGATTGAGGCAACGGTTTAGATTTATATTGGGGTTATAGTTGGGGTTGGGACACAGGAATGTTTTTCCGGAATTATGTGTAGGTCAATCCTTATAAATTAGGCGGGACGTTCCTTTCCCTACAGTAGGTGGGCTAACTCATGAAATGTTAACCGAAATCCCGAAATACATTTTAGCTTCGAAAAGATTAATTAAGTTGGATTGTAAAACTAGTCGGCCTGCAACATAATTCTATAATATTTCAGTTACCTCGGGATTACGGCTTTCGAATGAACTTCCTTCCGGCTGCATGCAAAAGCTATACTCTGTAAAAAATGACTACATAAATAGCATGCACTTTTCTCATTGATTTTTAATGTCCATAAAAGTCCAATTATATTTCATGGAAAATATGCATAAAAATATTCACTCTTCCTCTTATTCGGTAGAAAACGATGCCATTTTCCAATTTTATACTCAAACAAAGGGTATTACTCGGTTTTAAAGAACTTTTCCAATTCCCGAATCATTTTGAACCTGCTTTGCCGTCACACTAGCATTCAGGATTTCCAAACTACAAGCCATGTCTCTTCCATGTACGGGCTGCATGCAAAAAGTATACTCTGTAAAAAATGACTACTTAAATAGCATTCACTTTTCTCATTGATTTTCGATGCCCCTAAAAGTTCAATTATATTTCCCAGAAACAATGCATAAAAATATTTAATCTTCCTCTTATTCGGTAGAAAACGGGGCCATTTTCCAATTTGATACTCGAACAAAGGGCATAACTCGTTTAAAAAAAACTTTTCCAATTCCCGAATCATTTTGAACCCGCTTTGCCGTCACACTAGCATTCAGGATTTCCAAACTACAAGCCACGTCTCTTCCATGTACGGAAAACCAAACATTTCTCTACGGCATTAAAAAGAAACCACATGGGGTTCATAAAATTTAGCATTGGATTTGATCCTTATTGTTAAATTTACAAGCCACATTGACAAATGCAGAGATATAGCATTTTGTGAACAGTCATTTCACGGTATTAAAAAGTATCACAATTAGAAACTTATTTAAAACCAGATTATACCCTTCCGTCAAGCATAAATTGGAAGATGTAATTTTCTACCGGATGAGTAAAAGAATGAATGTTTTTATGCGTTGTTTTCCTGAAATATAATTGGACTTTTAGGGGCATCGAAAATCAATGAGAAAAATGCATGTTATTTAAGTAGTCATTTTTGCAGTGTAGTTTTTTCATGCAGCCGGAAGGAAGTTCATTCGAAAGCCGTAATCTTGAGGTAACTAAAATATTATAGAATTATACTGCAGTTAGATTAGTTTTGCAGCCCTATTTAATTAGTCTTTTCGAAGCAAAAATGCATTTCGGGATTTCGGTTGATATTTCATGAGTTAGCCTACCTACTGTATGTCTTAATTACGGGGGCCATATCAGCTTGTCTTATCTGGATTTTAATTATATGACAAACTGGTAATCATCCAGTTTATGGTGATATCAGGTGGTCTGCTCTCTGGTTCGACGTCACCACTGTTTAAAAGGTAGGCAATAGTAGGAATACTTTTGGGGAAAAATGTCTGATCGACTTTCTCAAATTCCAGTGTTCCAGAACTGAGGATTTAGCAATTCTTGGAAACCTAATTACGAATGTCAGATAAAAAATGTAGATGTCCCTTCTCACGTGGGCTGCATCCACGTCCCCGGGTATGCCTTTTAGGCGAGTCATAGCGACAAGTACTAGGCCGTGGGTTTGCACAAGCTTTGTCGTTTGGATTCGCTCCTAACTACCGGACAGCTCATCGGGGGTCTACTTTAAGAGGCCAAAATAGTTGAATGCACCTCGTCAGACGCATGCGTTTCACGTTCTAAATATCATATTTCTGAATCAAATATGCTTTTTGACTTACAATCGTTACAAGTTAAAAATAAAAAAACCACAACTCCAGAAAACCACCCAGTTTGTTGACATTTTTCATTACTACAGGCGCATTTTCGCCCACAACGCTGGAAGGATGCTACTTGAAGAATTTCGGTCAGTACGGTGGGACCCCGATTGATCCTCACCAACCGGGTATGTCACATGCTCCAGTTCACCTTGCTTTCTTCATCCTAGTACGCAGCCTATTGCCCGATTGCACAGGTTGCTTTTCGGATTAAAATTAAAGAACACTTTAGCTGTCCTAAAATTTACTAAAACAAACGAAAAACCACAAAACGCACTGTCAAAAAGACGGCAGACGGTTTCTGTTCGGCCTTCCGGACTTACAGGCCTTCTGACAAGACTGACGATGTGTGTCAGATCTGGTTGCTCGATAAACAATGTGTAATTATTCCGCTTCGGCTCTTAAGTCCCTCGACTAATTTGCATAAATGACTGTGTTCATCCGGCAGAGCAGTTTTAGTCTGCTTTGCTTTGTCTGTTTCGTCTACACTTGGAATCACAGTAGCCCAGAACCAAAGGCAGTATCACGCAAATGTTTGTTCTGTGACTGGACACTGATTTAGGCTGGTCGAACCCTATTATTTGTTCTACAACAGAATTAGTTCTCTTTTGAGGAACCAGAATAGAATCTACCTTGATATCCTCCTGTTTTGAGGAGTATTTTAACTTGGTTGTCAGACTGTTGGCAAATTGCTGCATTCTGAATGCGGGGCTGTGCACCGTATGAGGGTAATTCGTGCTTTATTTTTAACCCGATTGAAGGTTTCAGCAGTACGGATAGCATATCTACGTACTTTGGTAGGTCGCGCCGCAGAATCAATCGGACAAGCAAAATACTGTCCGTCAGTTGTTTTTGGAGGACTCGGATAGACCGAGCCACTTGTTGAAATCCCAGTCGTTAGACCCAGCATGTACTTACGAGGCGATTTTTGTCCGACTTCGTTGCAAATTATGCTTGAAAATGCACTCAATCAAGATTTTTCATCATCATCAATATCTGCCACCCTTACTTATATTTGCAGAAATGGGTTATTGCTTGAAGACTTTTATGCATGATATAACACATGACCGGAGGTAGATGCGCTGGACCAACACGGGAGCCATATCAGAATCTGGCAGGCGTTATCGTAATTGCGTACCATAGCAAATGCCAACATTTCGGGGGTGCGATGGCAGACCCGGTTGCCGGCAGACGTCGCGCACACTAGGACCCCTGTCGTCACCCCCCCCCCCTTCATTGTCGTTGTTGATCAAAGACCTGGTCATTTGCCGTGTGGACCAGGGGGTGTGGAGTGGAACGCCAAGGTGCGGGCTCGACCGTGCCATCCACCTGCATCCTCCCCCGCCTCCGGTCTTCTTGACTCTGTCTTGACACCGGATGCAGGTGGGGGAGGAGAGAGTGGTAGGCGCTGTGCAAGTCTACTAACACTATAAACTAATTCATGCGCAAGCCATCGTCCCTGTTCTCACTGTGCTCTGGAGCACATGGTGGACCTCGTCGGCAACGACGGTCGAACTGTCGTCCTGTGTGTCTTGGTTCCTTCAGGAGGGCGAGTCAGGCTGCGTCTTTATGACATTCCTTCTCAGATAGGACCCGAGTTCTCTCCTTCTACCAAAACCTACTCCACATTACGCTTATCGGGTCGTGCGTGGCACGCGTAGACGGGCTGATTAATTTCGTCATTCCCCGCACTCGGCCCCGCCTCCGGTCGTCTTGACTCTGTCTTGTCCCAGTTTGGGTGGGCGAGGGAGATGAGAGTGCGGCAGATGTTAAACACGTCTGCTGTCACTGTAAACTAATTTACAGTGTCCTGTGCCCAACACGCTGTGGGACACACAGCGGACATCGTCGTCCGCCACGATCGAACAGTCTTCTCGGCTTCCCATAGTTGGCCAGCCTTAACAGATGTTCTATTGGTCCGATATTCTGCAGGCTGCAGTAACTCCTGCCACAAGTCGTCAGTGGCAGTTCTTAGATTTCTGCGCATACTTTTTTGTGATCATCTGTCGGAGCTATGTAAATAAGCTGGATGCCGTGCCATTTATCGAAGATAGCCAGCTGGAAGATGTTGGCTTCGCAAAGGATTTGTGTATATTTTAGTTTTTCATCCCTGCAAGCCAGGGTTTCTGTTTCTCTTGCTGGGAAACGCCTAATTTTTGGGAAGTGATTTCCTGAATTATGCCTACATAGCGGTTGGATGGATATACCGGAACATAGCGAAGAAAGCTTTCATAAATCTTCAGCCATAGGCGTTTCTAAGTAAAGTTAGGGATGGTAGCGCCTTTTTGAGAAAAAAGAATTTTTCAAGTTCATGTCCAGTTAGCAGCGAACATTGGGTGACTTTAGTGACGGCTACGGTTGCGAGACTGACGGATGCGGGCGATGGTTGTTTTTCGCTGAATTTTTAATTCCAGACGGCGTCTTCTCATCACGAGCCAGTGGGCCAGAGATGACGGCCACCGCCGAGATGTGTTTGTCAGTGTTTTAAGTGCGTACTGGAGCAAACTAGAAAACTGATACACTTCCTTACTGAATGTGAGATCTCGAAAGATTCACGTGGCCTTTTGGTGGCGACCATTTCGGTACACTTTGTTCAGACCACTCGAAGACACAGCCAGCTTCCAGTAAGCGAATGGAACTATGAGATAAGGGAAACTTCAACGGAAAAAACAGCTTTCTATTCGTTGAGATCAGTTCTGAGCGTTCAAGCATTATCATGAGATCGAACCAAGAGCAACTCTCGCACGTTGTGCGGTATTCAGTTATTTTCGAAATGTAATCTGAAACAGTTCCTTCAGTTGTGTCCTGTAATCTCGAAACTCTGGCATTTACCTTACACATGGTGTAAGTTTGAGAACGGAGGGAGTGGAGAGCAAACAATTTTCGACTGATCTTGTTACCCATGCAGTCGCATTCTCATTGAGTCGATTATTAAAAAGGCTATACAAAGTCGTTTTGCGCTGTTTCCAGTTGCTTCTCCGTGTCATCCAGCCAAATGCGGGCTCAGGACAGCACAGAACGTCTTTGAAAGTTTGTCAACTATCCCTATTCGACGGAAGACTTGGATTTTCCAGTTTGGCTTACACAGCCGTAGTTTTCACAACCGACAGGGCAACGAGCCTGTGGCTCAGTGATAAAGCGTCGGAATAAGTGATTCTCAATTACAAAATGATCCAGGCTCGTATTCCAGATAATCCAGACCTAGGTTCGGGAATGGCTAGCTGACGACGGCTAATAAGTCAAAGGCATCCATCTCAGTTCTCCTTTTCTTTGTCAGTACTTCTTTTTGCATGGTTTTTAATTCTTGGACCCGCCAATGCCGGATCTGTCAGCAAATTTTACTTGGGCACTTTAAAGTATTACTAAGCACAGGGTCCTCACAGTGAAATACCCTGCTGACCGGCTGCTACTTATGCTTTTTTCAGGTCTGGCGTCTGCGGAGGTCGGTCTGCTCGCATTCGGGATCATTTTCAATGCCCTGGCGTTGGCCATGGTGTGTCATTTGGCAGTCCTGTGGTGCAGGGCGCCCTACGACAGTGTCTTCATGCGAAACTTCCGCCTTGTTGTGGGGATCGTCTCAACAATTTGCAGTAATAACTACATCTACCTCACATGAATTCCCCTGCATAACTATACTTCCTTTGCAGTCTGCCCATATTTGATGATTCGCGGACTGGGCTTCCTGAAATCGGCAGCGTTTCTCAAATGTAGGGACATAAGTCGTGCCAACCAAAAATATCCGATATCAATAGGTTCAAGGCTCTAACTTAGATGGAAAATGTGATACGTAGGTTTCGTGTGGTTGGTGTTGCGCAGTTGTCTCAGAAGAATGTGCGGCTACTAGCATTTATATATATATATATGAGATGATACCGACAAAGACAAGGGAGACCGGAATGGCCATTTCTGGCTTATTAGCCGTCATCAGCCATCATCGGGAATATTAATTATTCCCGATCACAACCGACAGGACAACGGGCCCGTGGCTCAATGGTAGAGCGTTCAACTCCATGACCAAAGATCCCGGGTTCGAATCTCAAGTGATCCACACTTGGGGTTGGGTATGACTGGCTGATGACGGCTAATAAGCCAGAAATGGCCATTCCGGTCTCCCTTGTCTTTGTCGGTATCATCTCATCTATGTCTACTACTAGTCGCTGTGCGACTGCCTGCGAGGGTTTAAGTATGAGCCCCAAGGCACAACGGAACGAGCATGTTCCGTAACCTGATCGGCGAGCGCCCACTGTCATATATATATATATATATCAATCAGGAATGGGCGCACACCGATCTATTGGCTTCACAAAGCAAAGGTAGATTGATACAATACTGTTTCGGGCTTATTGCGCTTTCATTCAGCCAATCATTACCCTGACCACCAGCAGTTGGAACCAGAAACACCAAACATGCGCACAGACGCACCTGGCGCAGTCGGTCCACCACTGAGGCCTACCAGATGGGTCATAAGCACTTCATCGAACCGAAGTTCATCAGTGCCTCACCACCTGTCATTCTCTGTCGCTGCAGATCGGGTATTTATCAATCAGGAATGGGCGCACACCGACTGATTGGCTTCACGAAGCAAACAAGCTCCGTATGGGTGGCAAAGGTCACGAACAGGCCAATAGATCGGTGTGCGCCCTTTCCTGATTGAATAAATACCCGATCTGCAGCGACAGAGAATGACAGGTGGCGAGGCATTGATGAACCTCGGTTCGATGAAGTGCTTATGACCCATCTGGTAGACCCCAGTGGTGGATCAACTGCGCCAGGTACGTCTGTGCGCATGTTTGTGTTTCTGGTCCCAGCTGCTGGTGGTCAGGGTTATGACTGGCAGAATGAAAGCGCAATAAGCCCGAAACAGTGCTGTATCAATCTACCCGCATTCTCTGTCGTCCCTCCTCGCTGCTATTATGACTTGGCCGACTTCGGCCTGGTAATTGGTTGCCTGTTCGTGACCTTTGCCACACATACGGAGCTTGTTTGCTTTGTGAAGCCAATAGATCGGTGTGCGCCCATTCCTGATTGATATATATATATATATGAATAACTGAGGTGGTATGCATTCCGAGATTATATGATAAAAGAAGGAAGTCCGTCGGAAATAGAGTTTTACTCGTAAATTTTCGAGCTGGTTGCACCAACCCGTCGTCAGACAAAGTGAAAAGTGAGAGTTGGCATTGTCACACTGCTGGTTGAGGACTCAGACAGAGAGGTAAGCAGACGACCTTGTGAGGGGGAGGTGTGCATTGTGTTGTGATGGGTTCGGGAGGTGGGGATAGGTGTTGTGGGTCCAAGATGTGGCTCACCGTGTTGGGGGAGGGAGGGCGAGTAGGGCAGGGTGGTAGGAATGGCGTGTCGGCGAGATCATGCATGTCCGGGCACGCATTAGCTGTTGTTGTTCATAAGGTGGGCGCCAGTCAGTCCACCGTGATCGGAGACCTTCGTAATGGACATCAAGGTCAACATGGCGGTTAATGCTATCTGCACCGGAGTGCCAAGCTTCGAGGAATTCCCGTGCATGTTTAGTGTTGGCCATGGCGACCACTTCGGCACCGTCCCAATTGAAACGGTGGTCACAATCAAGAGCGTGGGCAAACACGAGAGATAAGGGGTCGCGTCGGCGGATAGCTAACTTGTGTTCATTAATGCGAGTCCCAAGTTGTCGACCCGTGTGACCAATATAAACGCAACGGCAGTTAGCGCACGGGATGCGGTAAATGACGTTACTTTGTTGCTCTTTGGGTATGGGATCCTTTGCCCGGGATAGTGCTGCGCGTAAGGAGGACGCCGGCTTGTGGGCAATGCAGATGCCAAACCGGTTTAGTTGTCGGGCCATCACTTCAGAAATTCCTCGCATGTAGGGCAGGGAATAATATTTCCTCTGTGTCGCTTCTCCACTTGAACTCTGATCTTGTGGTTGCCTCTGATGTCTGAGACAGTTTTTCACGAAGCTAATCGGACATCCGTTAGATCGGAACAATTGGTATAAGTAGGCTAGCTCTCTCTTAAGTAGATACTGGCTGCTACAGTACCGAAAGGGTCGGTGAAAAAGAGTTCGAACGCAGCTTTTTTTGTGGGCCGCAAGGACAAGCTGTCTTTGGTCTATGGCCACATACGAGAACTGAACCACAATTTTGCCTTTGAGAAAGCGAGGGTAATTGGTCGAGCCAATGAGAAGATGGCCAGACTGGTGCTCGAAAGTTGGTCCTCGACTGGTACACTCAACCGAGCTATATATCTCCATCCCGCCTACCAAGCACTACGTACAAGGCTCGGATCAGTCCGGACAGGACCAGTAAGGCAAGCGAGCACGCGGGACCGAGAGTCAACGCTCACGGAAAAGAGCGGAGTTGGGGGCCAGAGGTCATGTGGCCAAAGCCGAACACTGTCTCACCGATGCGCCCGCGAAGCTGAATGCTGCTCATCTGAACAGCAACGACCAATCAGTCCACCGGCTGACTTGGGAGGGGCCAAGCGGCACGTTGATTTGACCACAACTAAGCCTACCCCAAAGGGAACAAAGGTCACGCAGGCCTATCAGCGGTCAGCTCCGGGGAGGTCTAAGCCAGTCAGCGGCAAACCGCCAGGTCAAAGTTCGTGCGTCCAGCACGGCTATAATACGAGGCAAGCGGCAAGACTGAATAACTCAAGACCCGCAAGTGCAACAATTACGCTACTGTGATGATGGAAACGAGGAAGTTTCCGAAACGTCAGTTCGAATATAATATGGTCCATGGATTCGCCCTCTCTTCTTCTTCGTCTTCTTTGGGAGATGATGAACGCGATACAATGTCTGGACCTCGAATTTTTACGCATATCAATATATATTTATATATATATATATATATATATATCAGATTTGAGACGGTGCGACTATAGGGGACACCGTCGCGTATTTCAACTAGATAATAGCATTGTAAAACCCCATCTCCTCTCAAATGCGCAGAAACATATTTCAGGAATCGAAGAAAGGAGAATTCATTCTTTGGAAAACCATCCTGATTGACTACCAGCTCAACTTCGAGCGGCATTAAAGCCTTTGAACCAAACAGAAACGAAATTTGTACAGCTAGTTAATAGCTTTAAAATCTTATTAGGCGTAATATGTGGAATACTAGGAACGTATTAAGTCTCAAGAGTTTAAATAAATACTTCAACGTATTGGCCTTGATGTAATAAAGCTTTTAATTCTGAATCTTCACATTCCCCACGCATCTCCTGTGAACCAATGTCTCTCACTGACAAGGACAAAACTGAATAACACTGTGTTTATTTACCGTACAGGATTCTGTGGCAAATTTGGAGGCCGCCACTTCTAGTAGATATTTTGTTGTATACGAACTACATTCTTTAGCTATTTACTGAATCTAGCTAGTACTTCCTGTGATGATGGTTTGGGGGATGAATCCGAAACGTTAGGCTAGTAAAATTGTGACCTCTTCTTACCAATGCTACCTTACTTTTTTATAACTCCCGTCTTTATTGTTTTTACCAACGTAGAGTGACTCAGTGACGAGACTTTGTGGTTAGTTCATCCATTCGCTAGAAACTAGTTTCGCTCTTTCAGGGCTGAGATCATTATTTTTCAGAGTAAACTGTTTCCTAACTTTTTGAGAGCTTCGACTAGGGAATGACTGTCAAGTTCTCTATACCCTCTCGTGTTTTATTGTAGTCTTTGTGATGTACATTCTGTGATCAGTCTTATGCAATGTTGACCGAAAGTCTCAAATAGGCTTTCGGTTAGGAAAGACTACTTAAGTTAAATCTTAATATTTGTTATTGTGGAGCATGATCTCAAGAGATCTCCGTCATGTCGTGACGTCCGCACATGAAGTTATTTATTTTCAACCTCCTAAAGAAACGGCACTCAGTAGAAATAACTGCCTAAGTAGTAAAAATTTTCTCATTTATTTTGAATTGTAAATCGAAATATATTTCATAGAAAACATGAAGAAATTATCTTTCTTGTTTTCATCCAGGGTAAAACCACGCCTTGTTCAAAGTTTGCACTCGACGAAATAATAAATCTACGTTTCAAACAATTTTTCAACTCCCGAATAATTAATAACCTTATCTGAAGTTACATTTGTGTTCATGGTTATAATCTACGAGTTGTGATGAAAATCATACATACCTTCCTGTCCTTAAAAAGATGCCGCATATGGCGCATAAAATTTTATGATGGATGTCGATTATTTTATATATTTCATAAGTGATACTAACAACGCACAGACACGGTAATATTTTTATGGATATTTCGCGATCTTGAAGAATTTCATAACAGCACACCTTTTTGAAATCGAGGGATGAACTTTCTTCGAGTGTAAGATCTGAAGGACATGGGGGTTTCTACTCAATGAGTACAAGGTAGAATGTTCTTGAACATGCTTTTTAAAAAATAGATTTGAATTAATAAAGGCCCCCAAAACTCGATGGAAAAGTTCATGCTACTCGGGTGATCAATCTTACCGAGTGCCGCTTATGCAGGCGGCCTAGAAGAAGGGTAGTGAAAACCCGACTGCATGATAATCAAAATTGCAAGCCCACTTAAGTAATCCTTCCTAATCGAAAACGCATTCCGTAATTTCGGTTAATATTTCCCGGGTTTAGTCACTAACTGTATACAAGCCGCAACACCTGTACACCATGCATCATAGACCCGAATACACTGAAGCCTTTCGAACTGTGGTGCTCAGAAGCCCCTAGCCCTATATTGTGCAAGTTAGGTTTGGCAGGAGTTATAATGCGCCGACAATATTGGTCGTTATATATGTTTAAGTAAAAAAGTGAATGTTATCATGTGAAACCCCATTAACAATTTGAATTGGAGGGATTCTGAGTTGCGCCACTCAAAAAATGGATGTATGATTGAACGAAAATTCATAGTCTAGGCGGAACTTGGCAGTATTTCCGCATTTTGATCGTATGGAACGAGAAGGACGTCTTTAGTAAGACTGTTGTGGCAACTGATCGAACTTGTCAGGTTTTTGAAGTTGCTTTTAGAAGCCAAAACACCGATCGGTGTGAACAGGAAGACAGAGTAATTCACGTATTGGGTCATAGTCAGCCACTCTGTTCTTACGCTGGATGGCTAGCCACAAAGATAAGGACGATGGTCAAGCAGAATAACTGAACAAAGCCCAGCTACTAAGTTAAAAAAACGTGGTAAAACTTTGCTCAATAGCTGTGTCGGCCGACTCCTACACGGCGAAGTGATGTTCTGGCGAGGTCTCTGACACTCAGCTGCTGAGTCGATGATTCAAAAAATAACAACTACTCCCTCACCTACGGGAGGCATCATAGGAATATATGTGTATATATAACAGTCTGCCTCATGTATACGCTGTCCATCTAATTGAGGCAATAACCTTTCATATTGAGAATTTTTTGTTAAAATGCGAACATTCGGTCAAATGTTTAGAATGCAGAACACAACTAATAATAACTGCCGCACGGTAAAAGCCTGTTTTGTCTACTTTCAGCAATACTGTACCTGGCAACCATCGTTGTTTATCATCTGGAGCTCAACGTTGAAGTAAAACAAATCCCGCAGGTAAGTTGAAATACTCTACATGACGTATATGGTGACAGCCGGGAAGAAACTGTCTAGCCGGCGGCACCCACTTACTCCTTTTTAAGGAACCAATACACTTCTGGTCATCAGGAAGCATTATAATGACCCAACTTGTGTGGCTGCTGTTAAGATTACCTTCCACTCATTAGGAGTAGGCTTAAATAAGACGACTTTTCGGGTGTTCAGCCTTCATAATGCTAACTGAGGTCAATTATAGATAACGTTGCTTAGTGTGAGTTTTGACCACTTCATACACGAAGTACGAGAATAGAGACACTGAATTTAGGGGAAGGCATACATACCTTACAGTTTAATCCCGGACCCCAATTTGATTACCTTTCCTTCACTTTTCGACAGTAGTATGATGATAAAAGTACATATTTGGCGAAAGCTCGCGAATGAAATGTTTGGGTGAGAAGTTGTACGAGTTTCTACGCCAGCATTCAATTGATCAAAGTGATGAACGTGTCATTTTATGAGTATAATTGCTCTCATTCGTTAACCTCCTCATATTTTAAACATGAAAGTTTACACAAAAAGACCGATTTTATTATCTACTCGGGGACCTTATCTAATAGTTTTTAGCCCACGTAAATGTTACTCAGCCTTCCCGGAACATATGAGGTTGACAGATAAGTTTTATAGGCCCCCAATCAGTATTTACATTTAAGTCAGGAAAACTCCTAAGACCCTTAAGGCTTCCATAATGAGATGTTCAAGAAAAAAAAACAATTTTTTACGCGAAGAACGTTCACCTATCAGGTTACAGGACACGATCGTTCGGCTGTGGCTTTGGGCCCAATCTAGAGTCTACGCAAGCAGCTATATAGCGAACAGGAACGATGCAGGATGGATTGGCAACAAAGAAAAAGGGAGACCGGAGTGTCCGTTTCGGGCTTGCCAACCGTCGTCCGCCAGCTCCGGACTGAGTTCCGAAACGCAACGGAATAAGCGTGTGCCGCAACCCGATTGATGAACGTATTTCAACACAGGACAGGGGTCCCTGGCTAAGTTGCAGAGCACTGGGCTGACAGTCTGACGGTCGTGCCCCACGATTTCCACACTGTGCTCCACGGCGAGGCACCGTTAGCACGGTGATTTGCGCGTGAACTAGTGAGTGTGGATTTCCGCCGCACCTCCCCCCCCCCATCCCTGGGCCCGGTGTCAAGACAGAGTCAAGAAGACCGGAGGCGGGGAGGACGCAGATCGATGGCGTGGTCGAGCCCGCACCTTGACGTTCCCCTCCACATCCCCTGGTCTACACAACATGTGACCAGAACTTTAGCCAGCAACAGCATAACAAGCGTTCAGAAAGGCGAGGATGACTGGGCAACCATGCACACACGACCTCTGTACCCAGCGGGAGCGCAAGCGCATCCACCTGCAGGGAACCTGGTGTCAGAGAACTGCCCGTGTACGCCAGGCTGCGAGGACCATTTTTTCCTGATCCTGGCATAGCAGACGCTTATAGACCTTTAAGAGCACTGTACTACATAACGCTTAATGAACTGGGAGAGAGAAAAAGTCCGCATTCGAATCCCAGGTTGGGTATGGCTGACGAAGGAGGACTAATTCGCCAGAAATTGCCGTACCGGTCTCCCTTGCCTTTGCTGGTACCGTTTCCTGAAACAAATAAATGTCGCTTAAAAATACTGATGCCAAAATTAAAATCCTCAATTAAGACCAAGCCTTTCAGACGCCGGCTCCACTCCACCCCACCTCATTCTGAGTAATTTGCATGTTCATGTTGCTTGCTATATTTTTGGTCAGGCAGATTTGGACGAAGGTGAAGGTTGGTGCATAAACAGGTCTAGTCCACAAGTTCAAGAAGGTTGGAAATCCAGGACTTCGTGCGGCTTGTGCCGTTTCGCTTCCAAATTTCGCTTGAATGAAGTGGCTTCCGCGGTTATGCCGCATCTCATTCACTGAAGACTGGGAAAGTAGCAAAAGCTAAAACGGAAAAGGGTCACTCGATGTTTCGGTTTAGAGGTAGGGTTAGTTTTAGGGTCTGGGTTAGTGTCAGGCTGCGAATTGAGGTTAGGGTTAGGGTTTGTGTCAAGTTTAAGGGTTCCGGTTAGAGTTAGGGTTCAGATTGCAGTTTGGGTTGGGGTTAAGGTTCAGGTTAGGGTTTGGGTTAGGGCTAAGGTTGGGGTTAGGATTTGGGTCAGGTTTAAGGTTAGGCTTAGGGTTTGGGCTAGGGTTGGTGGTAGATTTAAGGTAAGGTTTGGTTTTAAGTTTTAGGTTAGCGTCAGGTTTATAATTACGTTAAGTATTAGGTTTACTTTTGAGGCCACAGTTAGGTCTACCGTTGGGTTTTGGGTGTCGCTGACCCGCGTGTCCTGTCGACCAGGTCTTTTGTGGAGGTTCTAGGCTTCCTTCAATCTTGCGGCAGAATTGTGATACGTCAGGTTGTTCTTTCCCGTTTCGGCTTCGACTACTTTCCCCACTAACGATTTCAGCATCCTCCTTCGGCTTACTTTACTTTCGATGCCTACATAGCGCTTACACTTGGGACCAGGGCAGCGTAACTGACCCTTGCCAGAACATCTTCTGATTTCTTCGATGCTTTTTTTGACCTCTGTAGCATACCAACACACATGAAAATCTCTGTCAATCCAGTACTTAAAGTCGCACGAAATTCTGAACTCACGCCCTTTTTTCCTAGTTTAGAACGTGCTTGTGATTTTGCTATGCATAAGTCATTCTCATCGTGCGTTTGTTGCCCGTGTGAGCCAGCTCACGCCGAAATCCACTCTGTCAGTTTTAGTGTGCTCTTTTGTACGCATTTCGGCTTTCAACATTCCTGCCATCCACATCCGACCGCAGACCCCCTCGTTAGCCCTGTCTGACGGTCCATTTTAGGATATGTAATATGCCTGAAGCCGAATGCAAATCAAACGACGACTCCATTGATAGTTCGGACCGGAAGCGCGCCGAGGAGCGTGATTGATGCATCCGCAGTTTCAGTTTATTAAGGGAAATATAGGCGAGCGCCTTTGAACCCCCTATTGGTTTCAAGTCGTCGGAGAAAAAAATTGATAAGTGGGAAGGTGAAAAAGGGATTTTGTACATAATCTCGGACAACCGACAATCGAAAAAGAGTAATCATTAATGTTTACTTACTAATTACAAGTAGTATAAACGTATATAAGTTGTGCCGTTATGTAGGTGGGTGTGAGACTGGTAGTTGGGATGCTTGATACCCGTCAGGTCTACACTTAAAGGAATTCACACAGGGGGAGAGTACAACATCTGTAGGTAGGGCATTCCACGCTGCAACCACTCTGTTACTGAAAAAGAACATTCGTCCATTGATCCTTCCTTTCCCTGTGCGTATTTTTAGGGGATGCCCGCGCAATGTGGGCGTGTTAGCTTGAGTGAAATAATCAGTGGGACCTAAACAACAGGTTTACTATGGGAATAGAAACTATACTCAACCTACACCATCATGGAACTTAAGTTGGAAATGAGTCACGTCGACCTAATTTTTTCGACGTTTGTCTACTTATCGCGTAACTGAATCGACAATGATACCCCGAAAGCAAGACGAAATGCATTAGTAATGTAATGGTTCCACCCTCAAACGGGGCAAGTTACAACTTCGATTATTTACTTGCTTCGGCCCCATATCTCCTCTCTCTCTCTCGTTACAGTTCAGTATATTTAAGGGTAGTAGACAACACCATGTAAGGTCCTTTTGAAAACCAAACTTTAGATTTTCAAGTCTAAAAGCATGATATTAAAACGTTATAAGTCAGATATACATTTTAAATAACATTATTTTTGAGGATGTGCGCCTGCAGCCCACAGTGAAATACGAAGTATCAGCCAACGGCACTATCGGTAGGTATTTGCAATACGCTGGTTTGATGCAACAGAACTTTCCCGTCCATTTGGACGATATTTTTCAAACAAATATACATCCAGACAACGTTTAAATGTCTCTACTGAGTCCACCACTTTTGCTTCCTCGGGAGGTCCGTTGCAGACATCGACAACTCGCAGAGATATTGAGCAGGTAGGATCAGGCTCCTCTAAGTATGAAGGAGTTCCCACCTAGGTTTGTCGTCGTAGCCGATGCAAAGAAATCGTCGCGGTGCAGGGCACAGTCCTTATTATTCACAGCCCGGTAGGTTTATATGAGATCTCCTCCGACCTGGCTGCCCTCAAGAGGAAATAGGTTAAGCGCATCAAGCCTGCATCTGTAAGGTAAAGTCCTTACACCCTTTACGACGTTTGCTGCCCTCATCTGAACTTTTTCCAGCAACTCGTGGCCTTTTTAGTTACGGGAGCCGCGCCTGGATTCCGTATTCCAGTTGCGAACGATCAAACGCCTCGTAAACTTTATATATACATATATATGAGAGTCATTTTAACGGTGAAGAGAACACCATTTGCCCCTTTTGCCGTCCTAACGCATTGATAGGAGGGTTTGGGAGATGTCAGAATGGTGATTGCGAGGTATTTTTTGCTCAGTCACATTTGTCAGTCATAATTTCATCAAGAAGGTATTGATCATCATCTCCATTCGTACTCGCCTTCTTCGTTTTGTATCGCATTAAGTTAAACTTCACCAATAACGTAGACGATTACGTTCTTCTTGAAGTGTTCATTTATCTGTTTTACGTTTGATGGTTGGTCATATTTTGATTTCGTCTCCTAACATCACTCCTAGCGGTCAGGTTAATTCGCGCAGTCATCAACATAAATCAAAAACAGATAAGCCCATATCAATGTTTCTGAACCTGCAGAACTCCAGACAGTCGGTGACCCTGATGTTTGGTTCTGGCTACATTGTGGCCTGGTTTGCGGTCGCTACAAGCCTCATCGCCGCCTGGTTGTTCATTTCCTCCACCTGCTGTTGGGCCGTCGATTTCGTCAACTGTCGTTCCGTTGCCGCTGCCTTCTATCCACCCTGTTCCCAGCGTCCCTCGCCGTTTGGACCGAATGGCACCCTGTATCCAGCCGCCTACAGCATGGACAGTCTTAGCAAAGTGAGCTAAATTCTCCGCTCGAAAATATTTATACCAAATTATTTCATCAGTCCTTTTACTTCGCACACTGATGTTGTTGTTGCTGTCGTCGTCGTTTCAGTGGTCATTCATCGGCGTGATGCTGACAAAGTATTCGTCTGAATTCGCGGCTTTTACTAGCGAAAGGCAATTCCCCAAGGGAGTTCCGAAATCGATTGTTGCATTTGTCGGTCCCAGTTACATTTGAGGGTTTTTGCTTGAAAAAAATTTCGAATCTAACTCAGACGGTTCATAGTACCAGCTGTCTACCCCGACAAGTGCTTCTCTGCTCTCCTGTCTGGCGCTACTACAAGCCTTCAGTTCATTGACGGGACTCCAGAGCCCCACACGTCGTCTCCAGTTTACAGTTACGCTCTAAACTTTCAGCCGTCACTGTCGAAATGTCATGAAGCAGAGTATTGTGACATGATTCGTTGTTCTTAACCATGGTCTTTATGTTAACCTCTAAGCTACACACTACCAACTCCAAGTGCATAGACGTCTTACGGATAAGTCGGCAGATCTAGCAGTAAGTGGCACAAGTATACGTCAAGGGTATACTGTACTTAGAAGTACGGTGTATTTTCAACACGCGGCCTGAACCCCGTCAGCTGGCCAGGTCTTCGACAGAATGTATCTACCGGTGGGTAAGATCGCATTATGCGTTGATATTGTCGACGTACTTACTTGTTATCAGTAGGCGTGTTTATCTTGTTATCAGTAAGTGTGCTTCTACTGAGTGTACACCTATTCGGCATCCTCCTAAATACCGGCCAGAAAAAGTATTTTGTGAAGTTGAAAAACTTGTTGTACGGTGCCCTCTACCAGTCGCAATCAGCGAAGCGGATCTATTCACACCTCTATTGTCTTCGATGGACCCAAAAAAGCGGCAGTAGGACTCCTCAAAGTAATTACTTAGTGCCGATGACAGACGAACACTAGCCAGAACGAATATTCTCGAAGACCTCACTTAGCCGTCTCTATACAACGGAGTTGACCTGTTAGATTCTGGCACAAAATCGGCAGACTTGGCAACTTACCGTAAACACTTAGAGTCCATTTGGACATATGAAACGACAAAAACGCAGGATTAAGCTAGAGAGGAGAAGTGTATAAATGTCCAGTCGCCTCTCAGGTCCCTTTGATGTCAACGCACGTTAAGAGCCCCCCCCTTTGGGGCGTCTTGCCATTCGCAGAAACAATAGTATTAACGACAATAACACGGCAACCACTGCGTCGAGGAACAGCTTTCGCAGCTCTCCAATCCTATAGACCCTGTAGAAAACTGAGGAGTAAATGTTAAAGTCCAAAAACATGTTACTAAAACGTTGTCAGTAAGATGTGCATTTTAAATATCATTATTCGTGTGGTTATGCGACTGCAACCCACTGCAGTAGAGAAAACCGGCTTACCAATTACCGCGTCCTTTGCGACCGCAGAGGTTGGTAGGGAGCTTAAAACGACAGTTTATTTCGCTCCGCCGTCCTTCAGAACTCAAATTCTCTATTTATCTCGCGCGCCTCACTTCGACGTTAATTCCAACGACCCGCAACCGTTTCTTTTTACACAACGGCAATCCGGACACCAACAGCCGTCTAAACGCCGCCTACCTCCCCATGTGCCCCGCAATCAAGGCCACCCACTCACCATAAAAAGTACTCGGTCTCGTGGTAAAGGTTGGAGCTAGTTTCAGTTTCAGTTTATTTGAGGAAAAAATAGGTGTTGCACTTTTTAACTCCCTATTTGTTACAAGGATGCGAATTATGTCAAAAATTTGAAAATGGAAACATCAAACAGCTACAGAAGTTTTTTTCAAATTGACAATGTTTTCGAAACCAGACAGATAACGAATTGTTCCAAGTGTTAAAAAAATTAACGTTGCTAAATGTGCTGTACAGTTGTCTGTTAGTGGATAATTGGTGCTATCTCAGTTTCTGAGGGAGACGGATTGAATGCCAACACTCACACTCAATGGACTTGGGGCAGTAAAAAAAACGTTACTGAAATACAGGCAGTAATATGATAACATTAATAAACTGTTGGGGATTCTCTGGATTCCGCTTACCGTCAGTGTTTAGAAAGTACGCGACCGGTACTGTTCGCGTCTGACTTCGAATATCTCGAAGCGCATCGCATTACAGATGTAGGAAATGGCCGAACGTCAAGGTAACAGGGACAGAATCACTAAATGCAGTGTCTTATACGAGTTACACGCAGCACTATTTTGCCCACATTTTCAGTAGGTCGCTACTCATCAACAAATTCGCAAACATACATTGCTTCAAATGGGTCTTCCTCTTGATCACAGCCTGACATAGAAATTGATAACTCTAATTGTGTGTAGTAGACTTTGTTGAATTTACTCGAGATATGAAAGCTCGTGAATACGCTGCTATGATAGATCTCCGGATACATAAATAAATCCATTATGGCCCTTTCCGACACTACTTATAAACATCGGGATATCGTGTTCATCATCTCCCGAAGAAGACGAAGAAGAAGAGGGGGCGAACTCATGGACCAGATTGTATCCGGACGGACGTTTCGGAAACTTCCTCTTTTCTATCATCAGTGTAGCTTGTTTGTTGCTTCTCCGGTTTTGAGTTGTTCAGTCTTGCCGCTTGCCTCGTATTATAGCCGTGCTCGACGCACTAACTTTGACCTGCCCATTTGCCGCTGACTGACTTTGACCTCCCCGGGGCTGACCGCTGACGGGCTTGCGTGACCTTGGCTCCCTTTGGAGTCGGTGTAATTGTAGTCAAATTAACGTGCCTGATGGCCTCTCCCACGTCGGCCGGTGGACTGATCGGTCGTTGCTGTTCATGTGAGTAGCATTCAGCTTCCTGGGTGGATCGGTGAGACAGTGTTCGGCTTTGGTCACATGACCGCTGACCCCCAACTCTATTCTTTTCCGTGAGCGTTGACTCTCGGTTCCGCGTGCTCGCTTGCCTTATTGGTCCTGTCCGGACTGAACCAAGCCTTGTACGCAGCGCCGGGTAGGCGGAATGTATATCTATAGCTTAGTTGAGTGTGCCAGTCGAGGACCAACTTTCGAGCACCAGTTTGGCCATCTTCTCATTGGCTCGACCGATTACCCTCGCTTTCTCGAAGGCAAAGTTGTAGTTCAGCTCTTGTACGTGGCCAGAGACCAAGGACAACTTGTCCTTGCGGTTGATTGTAAGTTGGTGTTCGTGCAACCTTGTATCGAGGCGTTTGCCCGTTTCGTCATAATACCTCGCACTGCAATTTAGGCATGGTATGCTGTAGATTACCGCTGCTTGTTGTGTTGTTGGTGGCGGATCTTTGGGCTTCGTGATTTACTGCCTGATGGTGCATTCTGGTCTATGAGCCACGTCAATCCCAAAAGGTCTCGGGATTCTCGCCGCCGCCTCTGATACGTTCTTTACATAGGGTATTGGGAGCCAGAACTTCAGCTTTTCTCCACGTTAGGATATATATATATATATCAGATGCTACAAAAATAGCAGTTCCACGGTCTAACTGGGTGATCCCTTGCGCAATTTTTGATAAACAGAGTGGCAGCTCTTCTAAGATGGTCGAAGCATAAAAGGCTATTGAGTACTGCCTATCCTGATAAGTTGCAGTCTCCTTAAACTCCAATGCAGACTTCCGAGACTGAGTCAATTAGCTTCCCCGATGCACACACCCAGAGGCTTTATCCTCTCCGAATGCACGAGAAACGGCAAGGGTCTGGTCCACGGCCGGGGTTACTTACGCCGGGTAGCAAATGGAATAAAAGAAAATAACAGACGATACTTATTTGTGTGTGCCAGAGAAAGAAATAAAAAGATCTCATGGTGGCCGTTGCGTGAGGGTGATCAAGATGTCTTAAGGTAGTCCCCGGAGTAAAAATAAAACAGTGCAATAACTCTTTTGACAATGCCTGCAAATGGGCATTAAATTCATTTACTATTATCATTAGGTGGTAAAAACAGTGTCCACTTGTAATTGGTGACCAAATGGAGGGTCGGGATTTGTGATGCCACTAGGTTTTTTGATTTTCGGCTCTCTTGCTCCCCGGCCATAAGCCATACCTCTGCTCAGGAAACTGATACTGTGCCAGGCCTGTTAATTAAAGATGCCATTTATTTTCCTGTCCCCAAATACCTCACATGAAAGTAAAGTTTGCACAATAACTGTTCGGTTTAATAAGAATGAAATCTACAGTGCTTTTTACTGTCGTCATTCTGCTGAGATAATCAGTACTGCAACACTTCTTTCTGACTCACTCTGTCCTAGTGGTCAATCCAAGATCCTCCGACGCTCCCACGATTCAAAACGGCTACCTACGGAGATGGACATGAGATTCGGGATCCAACTTCAACAGCCGCTCCAGAATAACGGCGGTTATTGTAACGGCCATCTGTTGAACGGTCTCTTCAAGAGATCTCGTCCACCGCTCTTCCCACAGTTTCTGCCCCTCACACATTCTTCTACTGCATCAATTTACTTTTCTGTCAACCCCAATTCGAATTCCCCCCTAGGTCAAATACTCGCTGTTGTCTGATTGGCAGACACTCTTCGACTTATTCTATTTTATCTAACCTGATACAGTACCGCCTCTCCAGGGACACTGACTGATTTGCAAAATTCGTGCTTGCGACCCATTGCTTTAAATATGCCTCTCAATTTGAGGACCTTTGCTGTTACAGTGTGTCTAGGTTTCTAAAAATTTTCGGTTTCGGACTTCTGCTTGGGTCTTCTCAACTTGTCTAGGGTAGGTCAACTTGTCTAAGAAGAGAACTTGAGATTTTCCTGTCCACATTACGACCGCCAACCGTGATTAGGAGGGCATTTGATGACTAGTTCTTTGCGGGGAGAATGATATTGCTTGCGAACTGAAACAACCAGCCATATTTGAGCAATAAGTGAAAAAGGAAAAGAAGAAGAAGAGTCGAGCGCCGGAACACTTCGTTTATTGTCCTGAGCTTTCAGACTCGTGCAGGAGTGCATCGTCAGAGGTAGTGGCAGAAATAGAGCAAGTGACAGTTATAAGGCATGTAGGCCAATCATCGACCGACGCAAGACCGGAGGTGACTACGCAGGGCTCTGTACGTTGGCGCCATATCGATAAATCGACTGACCGAGTCCTCATCCGAGGCCCAGATTTCAATCAATTCTCAGCCTGTTTTGTTTCCGGCGTGAGCGAATATTTTTGGTGGCTGCGAAGTTAAATTCGTGACACATTTCGTAGGTGTGGGCGGCCACTTGTGATAATGCGTCGCCTCGTCGCACAGCCGGCTTATGTTCGTGTATGCGCGATCCGAGCGTGCGCCCAGTCTGTCCTGTGTAGTCAGAAGGACAATTTTGACGCGGAATGCGATACACTACTCAAGATTTTTCTTCAGGCTTTAACCGGTCTTTAATTTTCATAACCCTATTGCGCATGGTGGCTTTGGGGCGGTGTGCAATTCAAACACCTAGCTCCACAGAAATGTGCTCGATCGCTTCTAAAACGACCTTGATGAAAGAAAGAAAGAAGGACTAGTTAGCGTTTTCTGAGGTACGCTCATAAAATGCCACTCAAATACTGATCAGTCCCTTTATGTGGATATTAAGGATTGAAAATTGACAACGGGGAAGATGCTTAGCTCATAGTAAGCGCCAAGGTCAAAAACCGTAGGTCAAGACAGATGCAAACACATCTTTGGTGTCCACTTTTTCATGGCGCAGCCGGCTTGCATCTCATCCACCTCACACGTTCGCTGCACACCCACCGCGTCGCAAGGTAAAACGAGGCCAAAACGCCCGACGTTGGGTTTGGGCTAAATGAACGATGGGGCTTCTGACAACTTCTCCTACCAAGTCGTCTTCGGTCGTCTTGACATTGTTCTGCCATCGTTGCCTGATAGGTGAGGTAGGGGAGAGCGTGATTGATGCTACGCAAGTCTGTCTCACTGCAAACGAATCCACGCACAATTCATCGTCCTGCACTCGCTCCGTGGCCCACACGGTAGACGTCGTCTTTTGCGAGAGTCAAAGGGTAGCAGCTAGGAAGGTGTTGACTTATCATAAAGAGAGATACCTCCGGAACGGCCTCGCGCAAAGTTGTCGTGTTCGCTGGATTGAAGTAATCAGTGAGTCTAGGCCGTTGATAATGCGAAATATTAATATAAGGTCACCACGTAGTGGTCTGTAAGAAAGGGGAAACAGGTTGAGAGTTGACCGTCTGGTTTCATGAGGCAGTGCTCCCAAACCTTGTGTCATTTTGGTCGCCCGTCTCTGGATCTTATCCAAGAAGGTCTCTAATCAAAACGCTTCTTCGTACAGTCAATTTCAATTCAGTTTAGTTTAGTTGAGAGAAAATAGGTGTGTGTCTTTGAAATTTTTATTGGTTACACGCATAGGAGGCATATGAAAAAAGTGTATAAGGAATAACATGAAAGAAATACAAGGGGAATATCAAAAACTGTACAGATGAGCACATTATTCCATGCGTTAGCAATATTTGAAGGCATATGAACTCGGTTTGTTCATCAAATAAAGTAGACATTTGGAACACACCTAAGTTATAGGAAAAGTAATCAGACTTGTTGTCTGCAAGCATTCTGGTGAAGGCAAGCGGCGGTGTGCGCCGTGGGTCAAACATTAATAAATCACATGAATAGATGCTACGTAAATGTTGGTAGTAGCGTCATGGTATGCTTTGATTTTTCATGTCGGCTATCAAGACGGCTGCGGTCGGGCAGCATTGTGGTGCGTACTCCACTGTTGATCCAGTCTCCGCTTAAAAGTTTCTACGGATCCCCACGTAACAACGTCCTCAGGTAAAGCATTCCAAGCTTCAACCACTCTGTCGGAGAGGAAGAAGCTTTGTGTGTCTAGCCGGGCACCTGTCACACGTAGTTTGATTGGATGACCTCTCATGTTAGTCATAGTCGCCAACTCGAAGATGTCTCCAGATGCGAGGCAGCAGCCCTGATTGCGCACGATGCGAAAAGCTTGTATTAGGTCACCACGTTGCTGCTTGTAAGTAAAATCAAAGAGATCATGATTAGCTAATCGTGTTTCATAGGGTAGCGCCTGACGGCCTTGAACCTCTATCCCCTCCACTACAGGCAGGACAGAGGTGACCTCATAGCAACGTTCCAGTTGATAAAAGGACTTAATCTGGATGTCGACTGGGAAACGTTTTTTGAAATGGCACCCAAGTCCAATCTCAGACGACATGATTACCAGCTTAAAAGGGAACAATGCCACACAAATCAACGCTCCTCCTTTTTCTCACAGAGGGCCATTCGCCAATGGAACTCTTTGCCGGAGTTTGTTGTTAATTCCCCTACCGTGAACGTTTTCAAGAGACAACTGGATACTCACCTGCTGAAAGGCAACCCAAACTGCCGAAGCCTGATCTAACGGATTATTGAAATGACTATAAATATACAACTAACATGATTTCAACAGATCCTATTTTTGCGTCAAACTTAGCCCATATTCAAATTTTCACAGTCCGAATGCGGTGAACAAGGTTTTTCGCAATTATTTCGCGAATATAATACCCCTTTCGCCTTTATGTTACATTATTAGATTTATGAATTCTCCCTACTAAAACTGCAAGCAAAAGTTTTGCAATTTAACTATTTTACTTTATACCTGTACCCTCTAAATGGAATTTTCATGGCTTCTGTTGTTTACTCTAAATATACTGACTGATACTGACTGACCCCTGTCCAGTAACAAGATTCGTTGCTCGCCGTTAAATTTTTCCGAGTATGCTAGGGTTTTCAACGGTCCAGGGTCTCCAGGCTTGGATAGCAAGCTACAGATGCGGCCGTACGAAGTTCGGAAGAGCTTGCCGAATCAGGCCTCTTCAAAGGAGGAGAACGCCCGTTTGACGAGATGTAAGATGGACATCGCCGACTAGGCTACCTTTGAGCAGTTCAGTGAAGGCTTGAGCGAGGTTATGATCCATACGTCAAAATCCTTCTGGACGTCTACTTCGTGCAGTGGTTCGCCAATCCGACGGTAAACCATGAGGTTAGGAGAACTGGTTCCGCCGACGCGTAGAATGATACACTTGTATCATTTTATTGTATCATTGTATTGTATTTTAGGGTAATAGGCAATGTCCTTGATGACCCTATTGAAAACGGTACATAAAATATAATGTTAAATGTACATCTTACTAAAATTTTGTCAGTAACATATTTGTTCACGGGAAACTTTCACAATGCGGGACTGCAAAGGGTGCGGCAGGCGGTCTTCTCAGTGTACATATGAAATTTTAAGTGCAGTTATATACAATCAGCATAAAGTGCTGTCATTTGCATAGTTTGAGAGGAGAAATTTCATTAAAAGTCAGGGATGTGTTAGGCAGGGATGAAATCGAGAAATGAAATTTATGGCTGGCCGCAGGTAGTCCTGTTGTGAAAGTCGTCGTTTATCAAATATCAAACGATCCAGTTGCCTTTTGAATACAGTGACTGTATCAGATGTCACTATTTCACTTGGGAGTGAGTTCCATGGCCGAACAACACGCTGGCTGAAGGAAAGCTTCCGATTGTCTAGGCGTGTACACTCCCGCTTGACTTTGTAAGGGTGACCGCGCAGGTGACTCGTGGTCGTGAATTCAAAGAAGTCGTCAGTTTTGAGCGAACATTCATGCCCGTGGATAATGCGGAATGTCCATAATAGGTCATACCTCATTCTTCTATAGGATAGGGGGAACAAATTTAACTGGATCAGTCTTTCTGGGTATGAAAGAGTCCTGAGACCGTCCACCAGTTTTGTGGCCCGTCGTTGCACCTGCTCTATGGCATCACTGTCTTTCTTCATCCAGGGCATCCATGATGGCATTCCGTATTCCAAGTGCGGTCTGACGAATGTGCCGAATATCTGTGAGAAGAGTTCTGGAGGAAAGATTTTGAAGGCACGCCTAATCCAGTGCATGGTGCTGGTTGCCTTTTGGACGACTCTTTTGCAGTGCTGAGAGGGCAGCAAGTTGGAGCATGTCCAGACACCTAGGTCTTTGTGCGTGTCCACTTCATTTAGTGGAACCCCATTTATGATGTACTGATGTTTTGGGAAGCGCCTTCGTCCAGATTCTAGTCGCAAGACTACACACTTGTATACGTTGAACGCTAGGAGCCACTTGCTGGATCACGCAGCCAGCTTATTAACATCTTCCTGTAGCTTTTGCGCATCTTCAACGCAGCTGATTGTTTTCCAGATCTTTATATCATCCGCAAACATGATGCCATCGCATTCAAGGTCTGCAGGACAGTCATTTATATAGACCTTGAATGCGATGGCATCATGTTTGCGGATGATATAAAGATCTGGAAAACAATCAGCTGCGTTGAAGATGCGCAAAAGCTACAGGAAGATGTTAATAAGCTGGC